GAGACTAACTACGGGGTCACAAGGGTATATCAAAATCCTATCAGGAAAACCAGGCCCAAGAATTTACCAGACACGCCAGACCAAGGAAATGGGTCCCCCACCTGGGACCCATTATGAAATGGTAACACTGCAGTGGAAAGCCCTATACCACCAATGCATCACCTGATACAGTTATGTGTTGTGTGCATCAAGAACCAACAAGCAGAGGATGCCTGAAAGGGTGTGTGTTGGGGGTGTGTGCCAAACCAGAGCCTTGACAGGCACTCCTAGTAGCCCTGGTAGAGACCAGAGCCATGACAGGTTTCTAACAGCCCCTGCCAGGGACCAGGCCTTAGTTTAGGTTTACTGGAGGTGGCTGGAGGTGAGCAAACAGTTCTGGGGGGCGGGGGTAGGAAGTGGAACACAGCTGAGGGGCAACCAATCACCGGGCGCCCCCTTGGCCTTCTGCCGTCTCAGCAAATAGCTTCCCCTACCCTGCTGTTGAAAGGTCCCTACCACTAGGATCCCCAATCAGCCCCCAGACTAATCTTTCCTCCACCAATCAGTACCAGATTAATCCCTCCTCCTTGGATTTCCCCTAAGTCTGCTTAAAAGGAGCTTGCGACCTTCTTGGCGGGGGTGGGGGTGGGGGGGAGTTCACCGTGAGCCACCCCAACGCTGGAATTAATACAGCGCTTTTGTTTATTACATACGTAATTCTTGGTCTTTTCTTGGGGGCTTCTTTTGGACCGTAACAATGCCTTTATTACAGCTCTATCGGGTTACGTGCCATTGTTAATACTAAATACTAAAACTATTGTTTAAAGAAGAAAAATTTGACAGAACCTGTAATCCGCAAACTCGGGAAGCTGAGGTAGTAAAGACCAGCATAGGCTATATTTATTCATTTATTTATTTTGGTTTTTCGAGACAGGGTTTCCCTGTGTAGCTTTGGAGCCTTTCCTGGAACTCACTCTGTAAACCAGGCTGGCCTCGAACTAACAGAGATCCACCAGCTTCTGCCTCCCAAGGGCTGAGATTAAAGGCGTGCGCCACCACCGGCCGGCTCAGCACGGGCTATAAGGCGAGGCTGAGCTACAAGTGTGGGACTCTGCCTTGAAAAAACGAAAAAGGAGGGGAAGGGGGAGGAAAGAAAATAAGTTGGGAGAGGGGAAAAGAAGAGAAAGAGCTAGAAGAAAGCGAAGGGGAGAAAGAGGAGAGAGCCGTGATAGGAGTGGGGAGCCGATTAGCCATTTGCCCAAAACGTGCGGATCAGCTCTCGCTGCCTCCCGGCCACCGTGCACTTCCGGTCCCAGAAGCCCCTTGCCACGGAAGTCGTCAGTGGGCGAGCCGGCAGCGTCCGTGGTAGCTCGCCATGGCGATGGGCAGCGGCGGCGCGGTTTCGGAACAGGAAGACTCGGTGCTCTTCCGGCGTGGCACCGGCCAGGTGAGGTCGCGGGGGGCGGCGCACCCCGGCGCTAGCGGTGAACGAGCTCGGAATGCCGGCTCGGGCCCCTTGCTGCTACCCCTCCGCAGGAGGCTTCCGGTGCGGCTCGGGCTCCTGAGTGGCTCTGAGCCACGCTTTGGTCCTGGGAGCCTGTGAGGGATGTGCGGGAACAGGGACAGGCTGGCGGAAGCGATGGAACCAGTTAGGAGTCATTGAAATGTTCTAAATTAGGTCACCATCCAGATGTTAGCGTGAGTTTAGACTAGGTACAGTCTTGTCATTAGAAGGACCTAGTTTCGCGGGTAGCTGTGGATAAGAGAATTTGAGAGAGAAGGGTAACTGAAGTGCCCTGCGTAGCTGAAAAGTTGCTACCTATTGCAATGCGCTGAGGCGGGGAAAACGAGAAAGGCTTCTAGTGTTTCAAGTGGGTGAGACGGAAGGTCTGAGCCAGGCTTCGTGGTGCATGTTACAGTCACAAGCCCTTGGGAGATTGAGGCAGCAGGGTCAGGAGTTCAGGATCAGCCTTACTTCCAGAGTGAACTCGAGACTAGCCTAAACTACAGCGGGACTCTGAGAGAGTAAAATAAACACTTTTAAGTATGAGGGTTAAGTCAGAGCCAGGTTGATGGACCGTTCCCGTGACCACTCCGTGACTACTTGAGAGGCCGAGGCAGGATTGTGAGGTTGGAGGCTAGCTTGGGAAATAGAACACGCTCCATCTAAAAAAAGTTTAGATTATTAGGAGCTCAGTCTTCATATGCTAAGTGTGATCGCTGCCTGCAGTGTAGGGTGGGGGAAGAGAATTCAAGGCAGCATTCGGCAGTGCTGCACCATCGTTCTCTTCTATTGGGGACAGCCCAGCAGTTCATTTCCTAAGTGAAAACTTTGACTTTTGGCCTCAATGTACACTGGGTGGTCTGGTTCTTCCCCCCCCTTTTTTTTTTGGGTTTTTCGAGACAGGGTTTCTCTGTGGCTTTGGAGCCTGTCCTGGAACTAGCTCTGTAGACCAGGCTGGTCTCGAACTCACTGAGGTCCGCCTGTCTCTGCCTCCCAAGTGCTAGGATTAAAGGCGTGCACCACCACTGCCTGGCTCCTACTATATATTTTTAATTAAATCTTAACTGTCCATAAATTATTTGTATTCTTTTTTCACTTCAGAGTGATGATTCTGATATTTGGGATGATACAGCATTGATAAAAGTTTATGATAAAGCTGTGGCTTCCTTTAAGGTATGAAATGTTTAATCACTCTTCTTCATTTTCTCATTTTATACATTTTGTCGGGGGGGGGGCTGAGTAACTTGGGGCTTTCTTAGGTGACGGGACTGTGAGACCATCTTAGAGTGTAATGGTTGTGTTAGGGAATGGCGACTTTCTAACGTGTCCCTCAGTAACATGTGCTTTTATTTCTGTTACTGTTTCCATAGCATGCACTGAAGAATGGCGACATTTGTGAAACTTCAGATAATCCAAAAGTCACAGCTAGAAGAAAACCCCCTAAGAAGAATAAAAACCAAAAGAAGAATGCCACAGCTCCCTTGAAACAGGTTGTGTGTTTATTTAAACAGGGTCTTGCTCAACCTGAGGGAAAGGGTTGATGGCGCTATTTAGAGTGAATGAGAGCTATAAGCAGAGTCAGCAGTATTGCTTTCTTTCTTTCTTTTTTTTTTGTAAATATTTATTTATTTATTATGTATACAATATTCTGTGTGCATGCCCGAAGACCAGAAGAGGGCGCCAGACCTCTTTACAGATGGCTGTGAGTCACCATGTGGTTGCTGGGAATTGAACTCAGGACCTTTGGAAGAGCAGGCAACGCTCTTAACCACTGAGCCATCTCTCCAGGCCAGCAGTATTGCTTTCTTAAGGTGATCGAGATGGCAAGGTCACACACACACACATATGCACGCGCATACACAGGTATGCATGGATATATTTTTCTCCCATAGCTTATTGCATTCTGGGTATATGCTGTGTAGTTGATGAGTAACTCTAGCTCCTCCTCCCCCCCACAGTTCAACAGTCAAAAAACTATTATAGGAAAACAAAAGTTTTGGGTAACTAGGTCTGCTAATGTAAAAGCAGGGTCTGAGGTGGGAGTATAGTCCAGTTGTAGAGCACCTTGTACACACCCAGCCTTGGGTGTCCCAGCATCAAACCCACACTGTCAGAACAAAGCCCTGTAGATGAGGTGACATTGTTTGTTTGTTTTAGCTTTTTTTTTTTTTAGAGTAAATATTTTGACGCCTCATTAGTCAGTTCATTTTTACCACGGAGGAAGGGTGTTGATGTTAGATGAGCTCCTGCTTTTTTTCTGTCCAGAGTGGTGGATGTGTCATACACTTTTGGTCTGTTTTGTTCTTCATGACAGATTGGGTGGTAGAGGACATTACAGCCATTTGTCATACTGGCAAGAGAAGATGCAGGGGACTGAGTAGGGTCCGTAATTAAGTAGATGGGAGGGTTGGAATTACAGCTGGAAAGCTGGTGTATGGTTCGTTCTTGTCAAAAGAAGTAACATGTAGACGTCTGCATCTTTCGTTTCTTTTGTAGTGGAAAGTTGGTGACAAATGTTCTGCTGTTTGGTCAGAAGATGGCTGCATTTACCCAGCTACCATTTCTTCCATTGATTTTAAGAAAGAAACCTGTGTTGTGGTTTATACTGGATATGGAAACAGAGAGGAACAAAACCTATCTGATCTCCTTTCCCCAACCTGTGAAGTAGCTAATAATACAGGACAGAGCACTCACGAGGTAAGGTCATGGATATGTCTGTTCCCGAAACAGAGACTGAATAAGGAAAAAGCCTTATAATCAGTTCTCATTTTGACCCACTAAGGTGTTAGACAACATTCTTCCCCATCCTCCCTTGTTCTCTGTTCATTGTCTTTTAGCTAAGAAAGAAACACCAAAGCCGTACACATAACAAAAATGTTTCTTCTTTTTAAAGAATGAAAGCCCAGCTTCAACAGATGAAAGTGAAAACTCCTCCAGATCTCTCAGAAGTAAACCACAGAGCAAGTCCAAAGCTGCGCCGTGGACTTCGTTTCTCCCGCCACCACCCCCAATGCCAGGGTCAGGACTGGGACCAGGAAAGGTAACCTTTCATGTTGGAACACTAACTCTTCCATTAAGTAATTTATAGCTTTCATATGAAACTCTACTTTTTTCAGGCCAGAATCTATTTTTTTAAAAAAAGCAAGGTAATAGTGGAGTAAAGAGTCTCCAGATTGCCATGGGGTAGTAGACTGCCAACTAGTGTACTTTCCTTTCTAACGTGCTTTTGGTTACATTAGCAGTAATCAAAAGAGTCCTATAGGATTCATATATAATATGGGCATGATCTCGAGTAGCTCCCAGTTTTTATTGTTGTTTGCTCTGTTTTGTTTTTTGAGTTTTTTTTTGTTTGTTTTTGTTTTTGTTGTTGTTTTGAGTCCTGGTCTCTCACAGCTGAAAATGACCTTAAATGTCAGAGCCTTGCACCGCCACCTGCTAAATGCTGTGGGATTACAGGCGTGTATCATCCACCACACCTAGTTTGTCCCAGTTCATATTATAGCATTAAAAAAAAAGTGGGAACACTCTTCTTATGGTTCTTTGGTTGTAAGTAGTAGAAGTCAACTTTAAAAAGAATTTTATTATAGGCTAGGTTATGGCTAGAACCTTCATTAGCTGGTTCTTTTGTACCAAACGGTCGTATTTTTCCTCAGAGAGTATGGTATTTAGATAATTCATGTGTGTGTATGCATGTTTGTATATGTGCATGTTGTATGTATGTGGGTACTTGTGCCTATGGTAGCCAGAACTCTACACTGAGTATCATTCTCAATTCCTCTCCACCCTGTTTTCTGGGAGAGAGTGTGGCAGTGAACTTGGGGCTTGCTGATTCAGCTAGAATGACTGGCCAGAGAGTCCTAGGGATCCTGCCTCTGCCTCCCCAGTGCTGGGATTATAGTTGTGTGCTGCCTTGAGCATCATGGCACATGCTCACTCACACACATATGCACAGCTAAATAAATTATGTTTTAGAAAATTTAAGAAACAACAAAGGATTTTCTAAGTTTTCTAATCTGAAATGATCAAATCTCTTAATGTATACATTGTCTTTTTGGTCTTTTTTTATTATTATTATGTATACAATATTCTGTCTGTGTGTATGCCTGCAGGCCAGAAGAGGGCACCAGACCTCATTACAGATGGTTGTGAGCCACCATGTGTTTGCTGGGAATTGAACTTAGGACCTTTGGAAGAGCAGGCAATGCTCTTACCCTCTGAGCCATCTCTCCAGCCCACTTTTTGGTATTTTTTTTACAGTGTATTTTAAATTAGATTATATAAGTAATAGAACCTCCAAAACTTGTTTTGTTTTTAAACATTTACCCATTTGGGTGGGTACTGTGTACATACGGTTAGAGGGCAGGCAGTGGGAGTTGGTTCTCTTCCTCCACTTGGGCCTGGGGACTCAAACTCAGGCTGTCAGACATGGTGGTGAGCGCCTTTCTCTGCTGAACCATTGTGTAGACCCACTAATAGGATAACTACAGAACTGTTCTGTGATAGTGGGGAAAGGCTATACCCTTAAGATGAAATTATCTTGGTAAATACATTGTCTGTTATTTGTTAGGGTTAGGCAGTTACAAATCTTTACTGTGATTTTACTTACTAAATGTGTAGAGAAAAGAAATGAAAAGAACGTAGAGGCTACCATTTAGTTACTTCTGTGTATGTGTGCGTTACCTGTGTGTAGGTTTGTGCGTGTGGATACAAGTGCTTTTCACTGCTGTGCCATCTCTCACTTCCTGTTTTTATTACTTTGTTTTTTAATACTCCTCCTTTCAGTGAAGGAAGGAATTTTCCTTTAAAATATTAACTTTCTTTGAAATATTCTTTATAGCCAGGTCTAAGATTCAATGGCCCACCACCGCCGCCCCCGCCCCCTCCTCCCTTCTTGCCGTGTTGGATGCCTCCGTTCCCTTCAGGACCTCCAGTAAGTAAAAAAGAGTTTAGCTTAAACAGCTTTTATATGCAGTTTGGAATTTTATAAAACATAGGGAACTGGAGTATGTTACCCCAAGGTTAGGTTCTAGCAGGTAAAAACTTAAACCTCAGATCTTAGATTTGAAGGCCCCTCTGTTACTCAGACCCAGTGTCTCCCAGTCTCTTCTCCACGCTCTGTTGTGTGTTTCCTGCAGTAGTTGGTATCCAATCTGAGGTGGTAGCTACTCTTAGCAAGGACTGTGCCTCCTCACCATACATACGAGATTGTGTGCCTCCTGAAGGACTTGGATGCTATCTTCTGGCCCTGTAATTTCTCGTGGTAGATCTCTTCGTTGTTGCTTTGTGCTTGTGGGTGGTTTTGGTTGGTGTGTGTGTGTGTGTGTGTATGTGTTTTCTGTCTTTTGTTTTTCCTAATAGAGGTTTTTTCCCTTTGTTTTTGTTTTTTTTTTTTTTTTGTTTGTTTGTTTTCTGAGATATGGCTTCTCTGTATAGCAGCCCTGGCTATCTTGGAACTTGCTGTATAGACCAGGCTGGCCTTGAACTCCCTAGTGCTAGAAGTAAAGGCTTGCACCAACTGGCCCTAATGGAGTTTTAATGGTTTTTTTTTTGTTTTTTTTTTTTTTGTTTTTTTTTTTTAAGATATTAACTAGTAGTTAAAAGGATGTTTTTGAACACCCTGTATTTGGGTGGGATTTGGGCAGATGTTCTACCTCAAATTGTTCCTTGCAGTGGCCTTGAGAATGCTGTGTGGGGTGTGTAGTAGTGGTGCTGTGTTTGTGTCTCTGTGTGTGTGCACGCGCATGCATGCATGTGTGCATAACTTGTGGAAAAGCTAAGTACCTATGTTTTGTCTCCTATGCACAGCTTCATAATGGAACAAAAATAATCTAAGCATATTTATTGTGTGAACTGTTTCTGATCTTTGTTAAACTTGTTGATCTTTTACTATTATGGCTGGTGTCTAGTGCTAGAATTTAAAACAATTAAATAGAAGTCATCTCATGGGGTGTAGAAATAAGTGCAATTAATATCCATTATCTCTGTGTAAAATGAATTCCTGTATTTCAGTATTTTCCTAATTGGATTCTTTTCCATTTCTAGTTAATTCCTCCACCCCCTCCCATATCTCCAGACTGTATGGATGACACTGATGCCCTGGGTAGTATGCTGATCTCTTGGTACATGAGTGGCTACCATACTGGCTACTACATGGTAAGGATTGCCGGAACTTTCTTGATGTGTGTGCTCTTCGCAGTTGTACGACTTCTGTACCTAGAGCCAGGGTGACTATAACCAGTTTGTTTGTGGAGACTAAAAGTTAAGGTAGTTTTGTAGCTGTAGGACTGCTTAGAGTGTGAGAACTGACAGCCCTCTTTCAGTGCCCTCCTGAGCATGGCTGGAGTTGATTCCAAACTTCTGATTTTTATGTGCGGGGGTCTTTTTTGTTCGTTTTGTTTTTTAACCTTTTTTTGAGGCAGGGTTTCTCTGTGTAGCCCTGGCTGTCCTGGAACTCTCTTTGTAGACCAGGCTGGCCTTGAACTCAAATATCCTTTTGCCTCCCGAGAGCTGAGATTAAAGGCATTTGACACTACCTGGATCATTTCAAACTTCTTCTTCTTCTTCTTTTTTTTTTTTTATGAAAATTTATTTTTTTTTCTTTCTTTTTATTTATTTATTTGTTTGTTTGTTTATTTATTAAAGATTTCTGTCTCTTCCCCACCGCCGCCTCCCCTTTCCCTCCCCC